ATTGATTACAATCCATCATAAATATTCATACATCAACATGGACATTTGCTGTAACCACTGAGATCAGCAAGTACAGTGGTTCTTTTCAATTTGTTTAAATACAACATTACTTTACATATTTATAGACGTTTAATTATATGGTATGGCCAGACACAGCCATTAGTGCCCTATTCAGAAACTACTTTTTCATACAGATGGCAATACAATTACATGTGAAAACAACAACAATCACTAAACAAGTGGGCACTTAACAAGTGAATCCAGAAAAACAATAATCGCTGAATTGTTATAGCAATAAACACATAGAGAAGTTAATCCAGGCATACATAATCCTGATAGGTTATCAAGAACGGATAGGTAATGGAAAAAGAGGGTAACCATTTAAAGGCTGTAATACATTAGAAGTTCAGGTATAAGATAATTTGGTCTTTCTCTTCTTTTTCAGATGTAATCATGGAAATGATTTTTCTGATTCACCAATTCAGATGGATATGGAATATCCAGAGCCTACAAGTACAACCATGCAGCAGGAATCTGATAATCTTGTCCAACAAAGTGACACCATGGGTAATTTTTTATGAAGTTTGTTTCCTTGCAAAGTATGGTTTGAAGTGATTGACATATGTTTGTGACAGAGTTTCAAGCAGAGTACTGAAGGTATTCCTATCCAGATATATCCGTTCAATGTTAAAGTCTTGTCTGGTGTAGGTTACAAAGTCACAAAATGGTGCCCCAGTTACAAGTAGTTGGCCCTGTACCTGATACCAATGCCTATCACCTCTCTTCAAGTTGTAATATTTGCCTTCTTTTTTTCAAAAGAAACCAGTCATACAGGAGGCTTCATTAATGGTCAAGTCCCTTACAGCATAAGGACACTTAATTTCCACAATACCAGAAACAGAAGTGTCACACACCATAGCATCAGGGGTGGCTCCTATAAATGGAATAGATGGGTTTACAACAAAGCCAGTATCATGAAGATGATTTTGAGGTTTTTTTTATGTACATTTGTTTAGCTATTTTCTCATTAGAACTCCCATAAGTTGTTGGGTCTGAGGAAAATTTCTTTTTGTCAAAGGTGTTTCTGATAAATGTGTCATTGATTTGTTTTTTGCGAGTCATAAGCAGACCAAAGTTTGAAGCAGTAATTCTCCCTTTCCTGGCTTTGTACCACAAGTCAGACTTGCTTTGACATCTCGCATTTTTTCTTCTAAATTATGGGACTCGTCAACTGAAAGTTCTAAATCTGCCCACTGATGTTAAAGCTGCAATTGAATCCAGTTCTGGTAAGCTGTCATCTTTTGGGAATGTGACATCTCCGCACCTGTCCTCCATCTTTGGAGCCACTATTGGTCTAATTAGGGGTGCCTGTATATAGAAGAAGAAGCCTGTTTATTCACCCTTAGTTTTATACAAAGGATGTAATAAGGATGCGTGATTTTCTTAAATCTCAAATTGATTCAAGTATGTTGTGGGTGCTATGTGTTCATTCTTAACTTATTCTTTTGTGTGCAAAGCATTTTTAAACATTATAACAAGTCAGATTGATAAGAAATAAGTCTGTTCCAGGCCTAATTATGAGTTTGGTGCCCTAAACTAGCCAGATCATTTCTTTTCTGTATTATTGCTTGAAACAGCTGTAATTGCTTTTACAGGTCTTCTACCACAGGATATGCTGGCTCTAGCTGCTAGAACAAAACACTTAAATGAAGATATGGCCAAACTGATCCTAGAAAAGGAGGAGCAGTGCAACACCAAAATTAGTGCTAAAAATGTTAAGCATGATATGTATACTTTTTGTAACAATATAGAGAAAACGGATTACAAGTATTATACAGGATTTCCCTATGAACAGTTTCAGAAAATATATAAATTTGTTGTCCCTGACAACACTGACGATGAACCTGTTCAATTTACCAGAACAGTTAGCAGTTTGAAGTGTATGGGTCTTGAAGACCAGCTTTTGCTTGTTCTGATTAAACTTAGACAGAATTTTTATTTTAAACATCTCTCAAAGTTGTTTCTGATATCACCCCAAGATTGCAGTACTGCGTTTTCAAATTGGATAAATTACTTATACATTGTATTACAATTTTAATTATATAATAGCATCACCTGTTGTCATTGAATGTGGCCATCACAGGTCTCCTTTTCCTATTAAGATTTCCAGGCCTGGCAATAATTATCTGTGACACTGCTTCAGATTCAATCTTTGGTCCCCTTGGTTTATCCCACTGCTGAGGCCTGCTAGTGGAAGAGGGCTGTGAAGGAATGGCTTGATACCCTGATATCTTCCAGCCTTCAAGTATCAGGACAAGTGCAAGTACATGGGAACACTTTCCACTTGCACTGAACTGTAATAATGTGTATAAATTTATTACAGTACAGAATTGTGATGGACACCGGGGATATATTTGACATTTCAGATATATAACTGAGAAGAAAGTACATTTACATGGTTTTATTCCCGCTATGTATAATACCAGATATTACATTTACCTCTTACATTTATTTAAGAATCTGTTTCTTACAAGATGTTAGAAATGTAACGTAATTAATACGGAATAACATGAGTTTCATTGTCAACAAATGAAACGGCCGGCGCATAGTCGTGTTACTGTGATTTCATATCTATATGCCGCTTATAAACCCCAACAGATTTACGCCATAAATTGGAAAGGCACCCGAAGTTATTACGTGTACTACTCACCCACATTTTCAGCTACAATGGGCGTCAGTGAACGATTTGTGTATTCTGTTAAGGGATAAGTTGATTATATGAGGAGCTTCGGTTTTCCGTTGACTTCTTTAAATCTTCCCGCAAATCGACACGATATTATCAGGCAATAAATGAAAAGTAACAGAATGCAGATAAGAGGCCGAACTGAAAGCCACACCACGTTGTTTTTGCCGCAAAGTTGGTTCATAAGGCAAATATTTCGGGCCAATGTCATCGAGAATATCTCGAAATGATATCACAACTGCCATTTTGACAGTTGGTTTTGACAGATATGTTGTCGGACCTTTTGAGAGTTGTCTCCCTTACTTTTGGGGGAGTGGTTAACTCGCCACTGGCGATCCGTTAATTACACCATGACTACAATTTATGAAGACAGAACTCCTGTATCTGTAACTAGTTGTGAGGTCATTAACACCCTGACTGTAAACACAGTAGTACCCTGACAATAACTTGTGAGGACAGTAACACCCCTGACTATCACTAGTTGTGAGGACATTAACACCCTGACTGTAAACACAGTAGTACCCTGACAATAACTTGTGAGGACAGTAACAGCCCTGACTACCACTAGTTGTGAGGACATTAACACACCCTGACTGACTGTAAACACAGTAGTACCCTGACAATAACTTTGTGAGGACAGTAACACCCTGACTACCACTGACTACCACACAGTAGTTGTAACTTGTGAGGACAGTAACACCCTGACTGACTTGTGAGGAACACCCTGACTGTAAACACAGTAGTACCCTGACAATAACTTGTGAGGACAGTAACACCCCTGACTACCACTAGTTGTGAGGACAGTAACACCCTGACTGTAAACACAGTAGTACCCTGACAATAACTTGTGAGGACAGTAACACCCCTGACTACCACTAGTTGTGAGGACAGTAACACCCTGACTGTAAACACAGTAGTACCCTGACAATAACTTGTGAGGACAGTAACACCCCTGACTACCACTAGTTATGAGGACAGTAGCACCCAGACTTCAACTAGTTGTAGGACAGTAGCATCATGACTATAACTAGTTTTGAGGACAGTAGCACCCTGATTATAACATGTTATGAGGACAGTAGCACCCAGATTAAACTAGTTGTAGGACAGTAGCATCATGACTATAACTAGTTGTGAGGACAGTAGCACCCTGATTACTGCAGTACTGCAGCACTCAGAGTACATACAACTAATCATAATGACATTGAGTTACACCAACACTGACAAAAGATTAACCTCAGCCTTTAATTCTTTCAACTTGTATTGCCCATTCTGACTACCTTTAACACACTGGGAATTGAGCGAACAAGCATTCAGCTTACCAACAAAACATGTTTGAACAAAAGCTACCAATGTGCATGTTGTGAAATTCCATGATTCACACTCAGTGTTTATAGACCAGTACTGTTATGATAGACTTGATCGCCTGTTTGACACTGTAGTAGACACTGCCCTTCTAAAACCATGTCATGTTTATGTAACAAGTTATGTTTAAAGTCTAGTTACATTGGACCATAATGAGATAGTGAGTGAATATTATTTTATGCTTCAGTGAAAAATTTACATCACAGCTGTCTGTAAATACACAGGTGTGTACAGGCAAACCAGTGGTTGATAGAGTGAACACAGCACTGACTGACTGACTGAGTTTGGTTTTATGTCGCTTTTAGCAATATTCCAGCAACATCACGGCGGGGGACACCAGAAATAGGCTTCACACAATGTACCCATGTGGGGATTCGAACCCGGGTCTTCGGCGTGACGAGCCAACGCTTTAACCACTAGGCTACCCCACCGCCCCAGTGAACACAGCAAAGGTCAGAGACATGAGGATTGGATGAGAGTTACAATCGGCCACGTCAGACATTTCAACCATCCAATACCCACTTGTCATCTTCTATCTACTGGGGACCTAGCTTTTCTCGTTACTTCAGTCTACAGTGAGTGAGTGAGTGAGAGAGTATGGTTTAACGCCGATTTTAGCAATTTTCCAGCAATGGGCTTCACACATTTTACCCATGTGGGGAATCAAACCCGTGTCTTCGATGTGGCGAGCGAACGCTTAACCACTAGACCACCCCCAAGCCCCACCTCAGTCTACCTCAGATGGAGGGGCAGTGGGGGACTCACTCACTACTTTACTGGCAAACAAGGATAAGTTGAGCAACAACCTGACAATTGACCCATATTAGCATGTATGAGTGCCGCCCACTGGCGCTTGCCATTGTTAGCGAAGGGGACCCAGGTTGTCCGCGATCAGAGTCTTGTGAGCAAGGCGTATGCAGCTACCCGCGGAATCAATTTCATCGTCATGCAATGCACGTGCACTAGCCTATATCTGCTCTACCTTTCACAAACCAAATGGGTTTGCTCATTGCCGTGCACCGCCTACTTCTCGTAAACGCGTTCTCTGTGTCGGTCCGACTGATCCTTGTGTGCCAGTAGTTGGCTTGTGGTACTACCCTCATGCTCGCATTATTTGAAACGCTCCCCAGTGAGCCGACACCCTTAACCTGAGGAAATCTAGTCCTGCTTCACTAGGGCTTTGGTATTGCAGAAATAATGTGGTTCAAGGACTGTGAGATATACATTTCACATTAGCTTTCATCTCACAGAAAGTGTGTGATGTTGATAATGACCAGAATTGCAAACAATAGCCCATCTCAGGTCAATTTCAGGTCGGACAAGAGAAGTACAACGTCTGCCTGCTGATACATGTCTCAATGTGTACAAAAAAAACCCTAAAACTAATTAACCAACATTCCAGTTTGGAGGGGGACGGGGTAGCCTAGTGGTTAAAGCATTCGCTCGTCATGATGAAGACCCTGGTTTGATTCCCCACATGGGTGCATTTCTGATGTTCCCTGCCGTGATATTGCTGGAATATTGTTAAAAGCAGCATAAAACCATACTCACTCACTCACGCAAATTTGGACGTATCAGACGACAGAAAAGAGGCATTAAATGTGAGACATAACTTTTCAATTTTTTAAAACTGAATTCTCAAGCAGCCAGTTTTGTGGCATGAGGGAAGGTTATTTACAGTTAGCAACTCCGCTATGACTTGCATTTCTAAACATTTTAGGCTGAAATAGTCAAGTCATGATGACGACTCTCACTGCAAGGTGAAACACACATGAACTGCACCACCCCTGCAGACGGAATGTTCTATTGATTAGAACACTTAAGCCATGATCACAGAAACCATCTGGGACGTGTTTGCAAGAATCAATGATCCTCAGTGAGATGATCCCTGCGAGCAGGAGTCAGGACTGGATACCTGTGGTCACGCTTGCTGACTTGGTTCATCAATTTCATCATACTCCAAACACATAAGCTCATGACTATCTCATACTGATTATTTATAGATCACTGTCATATAGCTGAGCTGACTCCAGCTAAACAAAACACTTCCTGCACTGGGGTTTTCCTAAATGGAAAGGAACCAGCTCACGACTGGCCTTATAGTCCGGTCAGCCAAAGAATAAAAATAGGGCAACCTCAAACAATTTGCAAAAGAAAAAACTTCAACTGTTTGAGAAAAGAATTATATCTGAAGTATATATCTTTGGTCGGTTCATAAGTTGGATCAAACCAACCCTGAGGTTTTGTTTGAAAAGGTGTTGGTTTTGATCCTACACAGTGAGACTGTCGTAGCATGTATCCATCACCTGCTGCAGGTACTCCGGCTTATGTATTCCTGTCAGTATAACAATGCCATAACACTGTCATTACATGTATCAGAATGATGTCCGTAATAAGACCTGTACGAGGCCAGAATACTGAGGCCAATCTGCCATGGTATATAACTACTCCATACTCCGCAACACATGACTGACCATAATGAACTGCATCAGAACTCTAAATCATACGACAGGAAATCTGGTAAACATTTAAAACCACTGAAAACTACAAATAGCCTTGAATGTTGTATAGTCACCAGTCTCTTGTAAACAACACCTACAACAAATGATGAGGGGTCCAGACTCACAAGTGATCGTTCACATTGGGTATTGGTTTATGTTGGGTCCAGTCTATTGAATATTATGTATATTTTACTCCATGGGTCAAGTCTATTAAATATTCTGTATATTTTACTCCATGGGTCCAGTCTATTGAATATTCCGTATATTTTACTCCATGGGTCAAGTCTATTAAATATTCTGTATATTTTACTCCATGGGTCCAGTCTATTGAATATTCTGTATGTTTACTCCACGGGGTTAAGTCTATTAAATATTTTGTATATTTACTCCATGGGTCCAGTCTATTGAATATTCTGCATAAATTATTCCATGGGTCCAGTCTATTAAATATTCTGTATGTTTACTCCATGGGTCCAGTCTATTGAATATTATGTATATTCTACTCCACGGGTCCAGTCTATTAAATATTTTGTATATTTACTCCATGGGTCCAGTCTATTGAATATTCTGCATAAATTATTCCATGGGTCCAGTCTATTAAATATTCTGCATGTTTACTCCATGGGTCCAGTCTATTGAATATTCTGTATGTTTACTCCACGGGTCCAGTCTATTAAATATTTTGTATATTTACTCCATGGGTCCAGTCTATTGAATATTATGTATATTTTACTCCATGGGTCCAGTCTATTGAATATTATGTATATTTTACTCTATGGGTCCAGTCTATTAAATATTCTGTATATTTACTCCATGGGTCCAGTCTATTGAATATTATGTATATTTTACTCCATCGGGTCCAGTCTATTAAATATTTTGTATATTTACTCCATGGGTCCAGTCTATTGAATATTATGTATATTTTACTCCATGGGTCCAGTCTATTGAATATTCTGTATGTTTATTCCATGGGTCAAGTTTATTTGGGTTTCTATATAGTTTTGGATCCCTACAACTGACAAACATATATTAACAGTACAATCGATTGATACTAAGTATGACCCAGTGATGGAAGTTACATAGGGTCCAAATAGCAAATTCATGATTCTATGTAATTCATTCTTCATGAAAGATGGCAGACATATCAAATGTTATTTTCTGGTGGTGTCGAACATCAGTTAACTCTGATTTAAGTAGGTTCCTTCAACACAACAATGTTCGATCATCTGTGCTATTCAAGATTTTTCGCATGACCATAGTTAATTGGTCATGTAAATGACATGAGCAGGTAATCACTGAAAACATGATAATAATGCATGTATGAAGGTGTGGGGTTACTTGAGGAGATGAATTACCGGTAGCATTTAATCAGGAATTATTGTCCCCAACAGCTTGCTGTGCACAGATGTTGTTGAAGGTAGAACAAAGCTGACTGACTGACTGACTGAGTTTAGTTTTACGCCGCTTTTAGCAATATTCCAGCAATAGCACGGCGGGTGATACCAGAAATGGGCTTAACACATTTGCCCATGTGGGGAATCGCAGCTTTAACTTCAGCTTGAGGCTACCCAACGCCACAGCCCCAGAACAAAGCTGAGGTAACACAAACCTGAAAAACCGATTTGATTAGTACACTAATGTCAAATAGGGACTGGTTTTCATATGAACCTCAGGGTTCCATGTATGCAACAAAAAGTCATCTGTGTACAGGCAGGTAAGAGGGGAAAGAGGGAGAGAAAGAGAGATGACATCATCAATTTTGTACACATGTACTGGGGGATGTAATCAATTCTGTACACAAGTGTGGGTGTCTGTGGGGGGGGCACTTACTTTGAACATAAATTTGGGTGAGGGGAGAAGGGGGTCATTCACATTGTACATGCCTCTCCATACAAATCATCATCACCCCCCAACCATAAATTATGAATGGTCCCTAACTTGGGTACGTTCTTGGGGTGGGGTCCTGAGATGGACCTGGGCAACCCCAGGACAACATGGACCCACGATCAATCATGTAACAAGCTGTTAATGAAACTCCAGTGTGACTACTACTTGCTCCAGCTACATGGCGGCGGTCTGTAAAATAATCAAGTCTGGACCAGACAATCCAGTGAACAACAGCATGAGCATTGATCTACACTTGGGATACATCCAACTCTTGAGATGGCACACAGCTTAGGTCAGGCAATAAGGGGTCTTGGTGCCAAGGTAAGACATGACTAATGGGATAGGGTGGTCAGACTCGCTGACTTGGTTGACACATGTCATCGTATCCTAATTGCATAGATCTATGCTCATGCTGTTGATCATGGGATTGTCTGGTCCAGACTGGATTATTTATAGACGGCTGCAGGGGTGGAAATAACCCATTGCCCGACATCCGAGTCCAGTGTTTTTATCTGTCGGGCAAGCAAATTTGTATATCACGCTGTGTCCAGTTGACTTTCCAATGTTAATAATGTTATTTATTTAAAAAATCAACAAGAAAACGGCCGGTATAGTGGAAAAATTATTAGGGCAAGTGATTTTACATGTGCCACTGTACCGGAGTACCCTAGCAATTTTAAAGTTATTTCCACCCCTGCGCTGCCATATAGCTGGAAAATTGCTGAATGCTGCATTAAACAACAACAAACCAGCTTAAAATAGTAGTATATATCATAATGAATTAGACTTCATAAAACGAATTTACTATGTGGATCTCTGTTACAGGTGAGTGGCAATCTATTGCCAGAAGAGGTAACTTATCTCCACCACATTTCACAGAACCCATAACTTCACTTGTACCTAATAATACAAGGAAAACTGTTTCATAACATTTCCCTCATATCCTGTCTTGAATAAAATGCCTGTTATAAGAAACGGCACTGCATTTTAATTAAATTCTGAATTTTTGTGTCTCGTAGCTGTAATGCCGGAGCCAAGACTGCCGAGGGCCGTGTAGTGGCGTGTTCATGGCCTAGGATTATTTTTTTTGTAGGATTATTTTCTACATTTTGTCCGACAAAAGATCGATCGAGTAATCAAACTAATGTTAGACAGAATTAAACAATAAACTGTACGACTTGCAGAATACAAGGTTCATCTTTTGTAATTTCATCAGCACTCATTCTCAGATAAATGTAAAAGAGCAAATGACGAAAGCGTGAAATCCGAGGTCAAGAAACCTGTTTATTCACGACTGTCAAGTAACCACCATGCTTGGGGATTTTACGGGACGCTTTAATCACCCCGCGCCGTGTTCGCACCCATTCGAGTTAGTCCACGTTGATTGAATTAATTAGGGCCAAGCGCTTCAGTTAGTACCGCGGAGTGCACCGTCTTCGTCAGCGACGCTAGGCCGACTCGAGACGGCTATCGTTATGTCTCTGACTGGTTATATAAGGGACCATCTGTTATTTAAGCCACAGTTTCTGCAAGCAGGAAAACCTGCTTTAGCACAAGTACTTTTAGACTGTATTTTTCTTCCAAATATAGTTTGAATTAAAGGAATTAAGAGAAATTAATCATGAATACTATTTTGCAAAGATGTTACAAACAAACTGAAAAATGTAACAGCAATATTGGTACATACACCCTTCACGTTTTTTCTTTCTTAATAATTGACCACTCCAATCTTACTTTAAGGTGACCCCCTCCGTGGTGTAGTGGTTAGAGCGTCCGCCCAGAGCGCGGATGGTCGCGGGTTCGATCCCCAGCCGCATCATACCAAAAGATGTTAAAATATGGTACGTGTTGATCCCTGCCTAGCGCTTGGCATTAATGGGTACAACAAGCACTGGTTGGCTCAGTATAATGTCTCTGAGTGGAATATTAACGCCATACTGTGTCATGGTATCTCAGTGAGCTAGCACTATAAAACCAGCTCAAGTCTGGGCTAGTACAAGCAGCCACGCATACACACACATGCACGTCGTCATATGAGTGAAATATTCTTAAGTATGATGTTAAACCCTATCTCAACTCGCCTACTTTAAGGAATGAGATTGCAGGTAAATAATACTCTCGAGGTGGTATAAGGAACTGTCAGAATAAGAAACTCAGATATTGTAGCAGTCTAGCTGTATGTTGGAAGGGAAACAACATAGGATATATTATAACTTATATTTCAGTGCACACATTCATAATCATAAACATAATTCTTATTCCTAAACTGGATGAGCATTCTTTATTTAGCTTTAAGTCCAAATCTGCAAGATTATCGATAAAGAAACAGCTGAGCTGAGAACATAGATAACCTTTGTATCTAATTCCTTATTTTATCTAGTTCAGTCTGTTGTACTGACAATATGAAGTTGCTATATAGTTTAAGAAAGGAGATTCAAATGGGAATGGCATAGTATAATATACTATTCACACTTTGCTAAGGATCAAATCATTGATTCAACAGAAAACTATGATGTGGGGTCAGATTTGGTTTAAATATCTAAGCTTATTGTAAGCATGGATCCTTGGTTTCAGTATGTCACTGCATCTTGTGGATCCCATACCTGCTATTGACAGGTGTTGTGTACTTGTCAAAGACTCAATCCATGATTTGCAAATTGGTTGAATGGTGCTATGAAAACCATTTTTATGGTTATTCATGTATCAAGACCATAAGGTTTGAATAAAGTGGCTGTTTGCCTAAAGAGGGGTTACCATATTATTATTTATCTAGTTTTAAATGGATACGAGTTCAAATCATAAATCTACGTTTAAGTAATTATAAAGTTGCGAATTTGTGTGATCCTTATCAAAGTGTGAGTAGTATATATAATATACTGTAAACGTATATATTTTCACGGGGTGCAATTTTCACGGAAAGTTCACAAAAGGCCTGTTTGCGCAGGGTTTTTTTCGCGCATTTCAAACACCTGAGTGATGGTATCCATCACAAAGTTTTCACAACCGATAGACATGCAATGATCAAAGCTAGCCGCCATAATTGAATGATGTTTACTAAAACAATCAGAGAGAGGTTATACTGTACTTGTGTCAACATTGTGATTTGTGACTGACGTATCGCTTCGCGTGAACAAACATACAAGAGAAGACCAAAGACGTCAAATTTGTAATTAAACATTGCTAGCTAGGCATTGTCTTATATGCAGGGATTAAGATTACCATGTGTAATTGTCTCGTATACAGCCCCGGAAATAGCAATCAGCTGTGCAGTGCACACGTTCCCCTACCTGTGATTTAGTTAAAATGTACCCAATAATATTCCGAGATGAATTCTGATGCAGTGATCTTAAAAAGATATTATCTGAAAGTATTGTTTTATAATGAAAATATATTGTAGTTTTGTGTCATTGTCATTGCAGGTTGTGCTCTATAAATGTCAAATATATATAATCGCAACTAAGGTTACGCGACAGCTTTTGGGTGTATTGCCAGAGAGTTTTTATGCATTGAACAATTTAACCTGTCACCGATGAGGTTTTGCGCGATCTCGCTATTTCCACTGCAAAAGCAGTTTGTTGACGTGATCGTCCAGCTACACTAATTATGACTTTTGGCGAAAAAAAATATGTATGATGCGCATCCATTTACTGTCAACTACACTTCATGTCGAGACGTGAATAGACGCAATATGTTAGTGATTGCTGTGAATTAAGTACATTGTGTTAAGGAATATTACCTGTAGGCGAACATCTGGACTTCTTGACATTGTTTGATCACGTAATTTACATGGACCGGGAATAATTGCTTTGATGTTGTTATCTGAGAGAATAAACAATTGCATGTTGTTCCTACTTGAGTATATTTCATGACTTCACCATGAATATTTCGCTTGGTATGATTATTGGCGCACAATCTTTTTGCGCTAAAAGTGCGAAAATGAATCCCACGCGAAAATAACTATGATTACAGTAAGTATTAATACTGAAAGTAGTCAACACTTTATCTTCGGCCAAGTTGGAACGTGAAGCGACACGGCCCGTCACCTAACACAGCACCTGCCGAGAACTAGGGACCACAAAAACAGGTGATTAGTTTCACAAAATCCAATGGACAATCCCCAGAGGGTCTTCATAGGGGCTGCATAGCATGTTCACAAAAAGTCTTTCCATGACTATAAACATATTTTGAGAAACAATGGCAAGAGTTCCTGGAATACTGCTGTGTGGGGTTAATCATAAGGCCTAAAATAAAATTGTTGTGGTGCCGACCGAGCCTTGAATTCTGGTGCCGACCCTATGTTTTCAAAGAGGTATGAATAAAATAAGCTTTCAGATACCATTGTTTTTCCCCAGCACAGACAGACATTGGTAATTCTGACAGAGAAAGTCGACATGATGGCCGCAAGTTTGATTGAATTAACAATTACACATTGATAAATTTGTTATTGGTTTGTACTTCACTTCTAAACAAAAATGTAAAAAATAAAATAAAATCCTACCTACCAACCCCACATTTAAAAGAGGTGTAATCGGAACCACAACATATTTTTTATATGGTCTAATGAAACAATTTTTAAGTTATATAATGTCAACATTTTGTTAAGTGACATCATGATGCTATGTTGCTATGAATGTCTCCTGTGCATGGGGACAACATTCTTGGTAAAATCAAATTAACATATCCTGTGATACGAACAGATGGTAGCTTAAACACTTCTGACAGTCTATACAAGATACATCAAGTATTTATGTTTATCTTATCAACTAAAGGAGAGGGCGTCACTTTATTTTTAAATTCTTCGCTTAAATGTTGTTTCAAAAAGTGAGAGACACCACTAAATATCAAATATTCTTTTACTTATTAACCTTAACAGAATCAAATTCTTGGTGTGAATTTAAATATTGACACCACAATTCATTTTCGTTTTTCAGGACCTTTATATAGAGCAGTTTAATTATCAGTTTCACTGCTGGAAACAGACAGTTTCTGCTGAGGTTCGAGGTTGGAATTGGTCTTTAGCAACCTATGCTTGTTGTAAGAGGTGAGTAATGGGATCGCTGACTTGGGAATGTTCTGGAGAAAATTATACTGACAGTTATACAGTGATAACCCTTATTTGATGTAGGGCTGTACGCAATTTTGAACACCATTGTACATTTACATGCATGACTTGAAACCACAGTAAATATGAATGGGTGCAATGCTGAGTCATTCTTTCATCTGCCAAAACAGCATCAGGTTCTGGGAAACATGACATAAGCAGTTTTGTGGAATTCTCTCCAAGCACCTTCTCAATGTGACCACAGAATCTAAATATTCATTTTTGCAGCTAAGTGCCTAACTTTCTTCATGTTACACAACTCTCAAACCATCAACATCAGCAGTGTTAAAACATTAAGTTCAGCACAGAGTATCAATAAAAAAGTAGGGGGTTCAAATAACTTGATAGGCTAAAATGATGTTAGTTTTTTGGCTGTAATAATCCACGTTGTTTCACCCCGAGGTAATTTAGAACTCAACAAGTGAGTGAGTTTGGTTTTACGCTGCCTGTACCAATATTCCAGCAATATAACGGTGGGGACACCAGAAATGGGCTTTACACATTGTATCCATGTGGGCTATCCATCGCCCCAGAAGTCAATAAGTCACACAAGACACTGTTTCGGGTGTGTTATGGGGTAGTGTTAAGATCATCACTCATTAAATACACTACATAAATATTAGCTTTGTGCCACTGCCTCCACGACATTTCAGACAGGTCTCTTTGATGCTTATAAATAAAATATATCATGTTTGACCAATACGGTCAGGTGTCATTTCACAAGACAAGTAATTCAGTGCAAAGAACTTTGTAATAATTGGTGAGGCAAAACAGTTACCATAGAAACATATGAGACCACCAGTTGCATTGTGGTGTGATTGTGAAGGAAAGCTTGAGTACAAGGGGATGATGGTGGATTTCCGAAATATATCATTAACTCGCCGAAATGCACCAATTGTGGAATATACACTTACTCTTATATAATGTCATACTCTTACATAACATATATTTCCATGCCAACGAAAAGATCCGTGACTATCCGATAAAAAGAAAAAATAGCTTATATAAGCGAATCAATAATCATGGAAATATCTAACAGTGGCATATACTGTGGTTTTGTCGGCCTATTTATAACGCAAGTTAAGTCAGGCTAATCCACAATCTCGCCGTATGAGAGCGTGTGAACTCGCGGCATGAATATACCAATACAATGTGCAACCTACCTCCCCCGCTCCGGAAACACAAGTACGGGAACCGCCATACATTTCCAAGTCCAACAGCATACCCGACCGTGGCAAGCAAGAATTCCAGTTTTTTGTTCCAATTTCCACGATCTTCCATACTGTCAGTTGAAATAACTCGATGCTATCTGTGTGGAGAGAACAGCAGTTGTGAGCGCTTCTCAAGCATGCGCACCTTATGAATGGCGTTTGCAAGACCGCTGAATCATGGTTGTATATTTATGCAAATAGTTCCCTGTCTCAAGCCAATCAACAAACGGTTGACATAAAACAGTTCGGCGTGTGCCAAATGATGAGGTGAATTTGCCATATGGGCACGTGCGATTCAATTTGTCATATATTCCAATGGCGGAAACATTAACAAAAATATAAGTACTGTATTTCCCCTAATAAAATACTGGTCCTTATGGTGGAGAGAGAGCTTAATCTATGTACTTAGCGTGACTTTAATGTAACTGAACATGTTACAAAAAAAATGATTCGTGTCTGCCTGTTGTGTCTGATATATTCTTATTTTTTGTATGTTCAGTCAGAGACCGTTCATAATTTATGGCTGGGGGTGGGGGATGGGGAGTGATGAATATTTTATGGAAAAGCATGTACAACGTGAATGACCCCCCCCCAACTTATAATATAAAAAAAATTATGTACAAAGTAAGTGACACCCCTGCAGGGCATGTACAAAATCAATACCCTCCCACCAAGTACATGTGTACAATGTTGATGCCCCCAGCCCCCACCCCCACACACACCTCCCCAGGAACAGAATGGGTGACCCCCCTTGAAATCTTCACCATCCCCTCCTGCCATAAATTATGAACGGTACCCTAGTTGCATGTTTTATCATCAAAATCGATGTAAATAAAAATCGACGTCTAACTTAGTGAATTGTATTCTTTTCATATCAGTCAGAGATGAAATCTCCCCCTGTTATTACAATCAGTTATTTATGTGAGCTTAGTTTGTATTGCCCAGCAATGTATAATTGCAGAGTGTTATATTAGCTCTGTCCATGATAACCGGAATTTGAAACTGCGATTTGTTTCGAAGGACAGTGAAATAAGTAATTTCCCCGAGCTCAGTCAACCAAGGCTTGTATTGTTTTGTTGCCATGGACGTACCGAAGTGATTGGACCGGAATTGTCTCTGTATTTATATATACATCACGCGGTGAAAAGTTCAATATCTTTTTCACATTTGATGACATCGGGGGCGAAACGAGTGGATAATCTTCTTTTTTTTGTATATTTTTTATTCACTTCAGTTGGATACAATCATTATTTTGTGAGCCTTAAAGGCGACATGCATAGAAAGACATATTTACATACTGAATTACAGTATGTGAAACGAGTGGATAATTAGATCATTGTAAAACTAAACTCACTCACTAGTCACGCAGAAGACCCAGAGCTACGTCGACCCAGCTATGGAGAGCTATGTCTGGATTCCATAATGAATATTGCTGTAGGTTCTGTGATGACATTGAGAAGGTGCTTGAAGAGCATTCCACAAAACTGCTTATGTCATGTTTCCCAGAACCTGATGCTGTTTCAGCAGATGGAAGGATGACTCAACATTGCACCCATTCAAATGTGCTGCCTTTCCAAGTGAGTGAGTATGGTTTTACGCCGCTTTTAGCAATATTCCAGCAATATCACGGCGGGAAACACAAGAAATGGGCTTCATACATTGTACCCATGTGGGAATCGAACTCGGGTCTTCGGCGTGACGAGCCAAAGCTTTAACCACTAGGCTACCCCACCACCCCTCGGTTCAAAGTCATGCATGGTGTTCAAAATAACACAACTTGATCAGAAAACATGGGTACAACATGTGAGACCATGTCTTGTGTCCCTCGCCGTGATATTGCTGGAATATCACTAAAAGCGGTGTAAAACTAAACCCACTCACTCGCTTTTCAACGTGGATGCAATGTGTGAAGCTTATATCTGTTGTCTGGAGTTTCAGTGGAGAGTCTGTTACGATTTCCTGCGTACGGAAGGGAATGAATATGGCTATATGCCGCGTTTAGCAATAGTCGAGCAATATCACGGCGGGGGAACCTGAAACGGACTTCACACATTGTACTTTTATGGGGAATCGAACCCGACTCTTCGATGTGACGAGCGGACACTTTAACCATCAGGCTACCCCACCGACCCTGCATACGGAAGGCGGAGAAGCCGTCACTGAATTACTCGTACCTCGGAACTGTTATCGACGATAAAAACACCCGTGAAGATCCGGGTTAGAATATTGATCTTCAGTAACCCATGCTTGTCGTAAGAGGCGACTAACGGGATCGGATGGTCAGGCTTGTGACTTGGTTGACACATGTCATCATATCCCAACTGCGTAGATCAATGCTCATGCTGTTGATCACTGGATTGCCAGAATTCGGCGTAAAACTAAACTCACTCACTTATCGATGATAAACGTTATTTTACAGCAAATATTAACAGAATTTACAAAAAATGCAAAAAAAACCCTTGTAATCTGAGGTCTTTGAGTATCAGCATAATCCACAAATCTGTTTTTGTAAAAATAATATGTATCTAAAATCATAAACATTGCAAGAAGAACATCAGGAGTCCTTCAGAAAACTTTCATTCCGAGGGTCAATGGTCAACTGAAAATCCTTCAATACTACTAAATTGAGGAGGAAACAACCCAATAGTGATAGTCTATTGCAACATACTGTTGATCAACTATTGCAATACTATTGCAATGGCTTTTCTCCTTGATAGTCACACATACTATTGATGCATCGATTGAAGTTTTCAGTCGTTTTAATAACCATCGATTAGCATCCTGTATTTCGCTGGAACGTCAATCAACAAGTATCGATAGTCACACATACCATCAATAGTTCGATGCATCGTTACAGCCCTAATTGCTTCATCTATAGTCTGCGAACTCTTTCTTCATAATGAATACTGTCGAACTTTTCTTCATAATGAATACGGACGCCACCCGCAAACCCCTTTAGAACATTCATTCCACCCAGCAATGCTAATCTAATTTTAAAAAATACATATTGTCATCCATCATAAAACCCACTTCTATTATCTTTTTACTTGGCAGGCTCAGCACGTAATTGCTGTTTGATTTGTACCTCTACAAATCTTCCGGTTGTTCAGCATGCATTTGTATTGCTGGTTTTATGTCATACATCTCTTTAAATCTTTATGATTTAATGCTAAATGTGTTTGTCACATGTACAACAATGTTATACTGTGTTATTTTATCACAGTTTTTGACGTAAAACAAATTCCCTCTCGGGCAATAAAATTGTTATTATCCATATGCTGGATTTAACTAATGCCCAGACTGTTAAAACCAGTCAACTGCCCATCCCGTACATGCATCTAATGCAGCAGGTGGTGTGATTTCATTATACTCACGTTCCTGGTTTAGATCCAGAGAAAGGCGAATACTTCACGTCAAAGAAAGGTGGCTAATAAATCTTCTTTGACAGTCACAGGTACAAACTCATCAGGTGACCAATAGGAAGTTGGCTAACAAATGCCCCTTGACAGTCACAGGTACAAACTCATCAAGTGACCAATAGGACTGAGACTAACAAATCATCTTTGACGGTCACAGGTACAAACTCAACAAGTAACCAATAGAAAGGTGGCTAGCAAATCTTCTTTGACGATCACGGGTACAAATTCATCACTGGGGAAATATGGAGCGATGCCTGTGGGCGTTATTATCACTGTTATTAGTCTCTGTGGTTGAAGGTTCAGAATACCCCAAACACTGCTATGTCTACTAATGGGTTGAATGCGTTCCTCTCAGTCAACGTGGTGCAGGGTGCTTGGATAGTGATCTTGGAAGGTGTGCCCGTGATTAGACAGACACACTTTCTGTTTGTTTGTTTGTTAAACCCTTCACTCAGCAATATTCCAGCAATATGGCGGTGGTCTGTAAATAATCGAGTGTGGACTAGACAATCCAGTAATCAACACCACGAGCATCGATCTACGCAACTGAGATGTGTGTCAACATGTGTGTCAACCATCATAAAAGTCAGCGAGCCTGATCAGGTGATCCCGTTTGTCGCCTCTTGCGACAAACATGGGTTACTGAAGATGAATTCTAGCCAGGATCTTCACGGGTCGCATTTAGCCAAGATGGACTAGTGTTATGCATGGATGTATCACATGATTGAAAATATCAAACATCACTACTGCAGGCTCTTCTTCCTCAGTCCGAGAACGACAATGTGTAGCACATGGTGGAGCGAGAACGACAATGTGACGATAATTGAATAATTGAGAACGACAATGGTGCATAGCGAGAACGACAATGTGTAGCGAGAACGACAATGTGTAGCACATGGTGGAAATGTCACGATAATTGAATAATTGAGAAACCAATGGTGCATACCCGGACCCACAGGGTCAGGCCTGCACGTGTCAACTCGTCTGACAGAACCCAACGAAGGCAGCAGCAGAGTATCCTGTTTTGAATAACAGAGAAACCAATAAATCGAAGGGTTCTGTATATACTGTTAAGAATAACCGGACATATTCAATGTAAAAGATGTCGCAGCCATTGATATACTTCGTCGTTTGTTGTTGACGGTGCCGCCCAAAATTATCCCAGACATGTCCCAAATAACATCAACCCAAAATGGAACATCACCTACTTTCTGTGAATAGTATTTTACTTTGAACACGTCTATCCTTATTGTTTTTTTATGATCTTGTCTTTCATTGGACATTTGCACATTGGTAGTCATCTTAGCAATAACAAACTGTCCAGAGGAATGTTGCATGTTATGTAGCCTATGGTATGTTCAACTCACAGCTATACACTGTGAAGACCCTGCATTGTTGTGACTTTACTGTACTGGGTGCATGTCTCGACCCCGAAAGGTGCACGATACAAAGAGTGATGGAACCAGTCAGGCGTTCCCTATAGGCTCTGTGATGATGATTACTCTCACCGCGTGGGTTCCCGTTCGGTACGATGATTTTTGTGAATGCAGACATGGATCGATGAAGAAGCTTAACTTCCTGAATTGTTCGCTGTACATGGCGTGAGAATCAAACCCGGATCGTTGGTGTGATGAGCGAATGCTTTATCAACTAGGCTTCCCAGTCCAACTGGAGAAATAGGTCTAGGTACCCAATGTATGATAGAAGGTATATTCCCCAGGTTGATAGATGGTATATTCCCCATGTTGATAGAAGGTATATCCCCCAGGTTGATAGAAGGTATATCCCCCAGGTTGATAGATGGTATATTCCCCAGGTTGA